TATTGTTTTTTTTTTCTTTGGTACTTTCAACATGATTCATAAATAAAAATTCCTTATTCTCCGTACTTATATGCTCTTCCTTCAAATCTTGAGTATCTAGCTATACCATGACCACAATTAGGACACGAATGAATGCAATCTTTCAAATCATTGATCTATAAAATAGAAAATTTTAATATTATTGACCAACCACACGTACAATTATTCTATAATTCAGAGATCTATACTTACACAAAAGGGAAACAAACAACATCCCCACATTGTCACTCCAATTGCAAATAAACCAAGGGATGATAACCAAGTGCAAGTTCCAGATCGAAAGTCCGTCTTGCTCAAAACTATTTGGTTACAATGTGGGCAACAAGTAACAGCTGGTTCGCTACGTAAATCAAAAATAGAAACTGCTGGACCTAAAATAACAGTATCGGGTTGATAATATGCTGTAACCGAAGGTTGTTGAGGTGGGTTATAAATTGGAGTTGGGGCAGAGGAATAAGAATGTTTTGGAACATTTGGGTAAAGACGCGTAGTTTCATTGGGTTCAACTTCTCGAGATTGTGAGGGAAGAGGTGTGTAAGGTGGTGGTGAATCAATAGGATCTGAGGAGCTTGTTGCGATATTGTCTTTTTTATTTGTCATAATTTGAGAAACGAAGATAAAAAAAACTTGCCCTAATCTAGCATGACGGAAGTTCTTTTTTATTGGCCACAAATGTGCACATTGCAGATCCTAATTTGTTAGATATGATTGGCCAAAAATTTTATATACTAATGTAGTACGTACGTGCGATCTTATCGATCAAAAATTTTGTAGTTAAAAATTCGTCACGAATAGAGCTGTGTTTTGTTGAGTTCTTCGCGGTTGAGTTTATGTGTGATTGGAGATTGTTGAATGACAGTTGTAGTCGAGTTTTATTATATTCAAGTTTTGTCGTGGTCAAATTTTGCCGTAGCCAAGCTTCGGTGGTTAAGTTTCGCCGGGTCAAGTTTCGCCGGGTCAAGTTTCGCCGAGTCAAGTTTCACCGGGTTGATAATTTTCGCCGTGGTCGCCGTTGCTAGAGAGTTGGTCAAGTTTTTCAGGGGTCTTTACTGTTACCAAGGTCAAGTTTTATAGTAAGTTCTATTATTACTATTGTAAAAAAATATAATTTGTACTTTTAATGACTAATCATTTTTATCAAAAAAAAAAAGCATAAAAAAAAATGCCAGCCAAGAATTTTGGTCCCTGTTCAATTGTTGATTGTACGAATATCAATATTAATTTTCGTACGCTTACAAAACTTGCATATGAAAAATGTTGCATGAAACGAACAATAGAATCATATCCTTACCTTGAGGTCGGGAAACAACTCTGTCACTCTCATTATTGTAAACTCGTGGAGCCAGACAGAGACCAACGGGGGCACAAGTCAAAAAATATAGATAACCAAAAAAAAAAAATTTTTGAGCCAGTAGAACTCTTATCAAACGATGTAATTTATGCATTTATTTTTTAGGGGTTTTTTTTTTTTATTAATTTTTTTTTTTTTTAATTTAAATAGATCACATTTGTTTCGAGTATAGAAATGTTAACAGAGGTACTATATCATCAACAACGTCGGGAACATGCTAGTCTAGAATTAGACCCAACAAAATTCGTAAGCATGATCGAAGCCACTAATCCCCAGCTTCAGGGTTTTTTCAACTATATGACGAATGCAATTATTCCAAAAGAATGCTCGGCTCACAATATCAATGAGGCAAAAAAATCTATTGTTGGATTATGCTATATGATAGCAGGTCTGCGTAATAAA